GTGCCTGTGCGAATTGGAGATGTTTTATCTTGGTAACTGCAGACCGCAAAGGTGTTCGAACAGGCCTTCGGTTTCCATATCCCATAAGATGCAGTGTATGGCTAATTTGCCTACAAACGTCAGGTGGTCATAACAATCTGGCCACTCAGTGTGATATATATCCCACGTTCAAAGGCTGTTAAATCACGTTGTTTACCCATATCTTCAGAAAAAAATCACTTCTGTCGTGGTAAACAACCTGCTTCCCTATTTATAATGGACTGGCCTTCTAGCAACCTCAGCATGAAATTATAGCTAATTTGCCTACAAACGTCAGGTGGTCATAATAATCTGGCCACTCAGCAAAGCTGTGGTGAAGAAAGAGACAGGATGGGGTCTGGTGGGGTGGAGATAACAGGTTCCAAGGCACCAAGGCCTGGGGCCAACCCATGCTCCAACACAGATGTGTGGGCAGGGATGACATCCACAATACCTACACATTGGAGCAGCGCTGGCGGTGTGCGGTGCCCCTTCCTCCCGTTACTGGGTCCAGAGCTGGGCCCAGAGCAGTGGGGTGGCTGGGCATCAGGGCCTTGGCTGGGGCGGGGCTCTTTATCCAGACTTGAATATGGTCCTGGCTGGTCCATCTGTGCCAGGGCGTCCTGGGTGTGTCACCTGAAAGGTATTAGATGGGATTATGTTGGGATATTCTGAGGATAAAACAGAAAACAGAGGCAGAGCTCAGCCTGGGGTGGATGGAGGAAGACAGGTGATGCTTGTCACCTCCCCCACCCCATTGTGCTCAGGGGAGGGGTGTGGGGCAGGGCACAGCCAGGCCTGGGTGATGCGCTTTCTGACAGTCATTTGCCAGATCTCTTTATTGCTCCTGCCAACACCAAGTTGTAACCCGGGAGGGGGTCCTGGAATCCACTTCGAAAAGTGCAATCAGCCTTGTTAAAAACAAATATCAAAGAAACGGAAAGGAAAAAAACTACCAGAGTTTCATAGCAGACGGCAAGGTGAGTGCTGTTCTGTGACACCTTCCCTTCAGGCTTGCACTAGACCAGTGATGGCGAACCTTTTGAGCTCAGCGTGTCAGCACGCCTAACAACTCTGGTGCCGTGTCACATATAGAAATTTTTTGATATTTGCAACCATAGTAAAACAAAGACTTATATTTTTGATATTTATTTTATATATTTAAATGCCATTTAACAAAGAAAAATCAACCAAAAAAATGAGTCATAGGTTCTCCATCACTGCACTAGACAATGGATTCCTTAACTTGGGTTCCAGACAAGAGAATTGGGGAGTCACTGCATTTGCAGGCAGATGCCCTCGCTTCTCTTCTCCACCTGCATATCACACCCCAGATGGCCAGATCCCCAGCATGTCTGGTCTCCGTCCCCTGGGACCTGGGCAGACTCTGCCCCTCTCTGCCTCTCCCTTCCTCTGGCTCAATGCTTCATCTTTGCCTGTTTTTGTTTCCATGTTACTGATAATGACACTGAAGTCCAGAGATGGAGCATGGCCTGTCCAGGGCCACCTAAAAGGAGCTCCAAGCCCCTGCACTGCCTGAGCACACAGGCCAGGTGCCCAGGGGCGCCCCCGTGGGACAGAGTGGGAGGGAGGGAGGAGCAGTAGGAAGGGAGGCACACTCCTGGGGATCTGAGAGTAGGTCGGAGCCTGGAGGGGACCTACCTGACTCCTTGGGCTTAGAGACCGTGAGGATCAGAGTACAGGGCAAGGAAGGGGACCAAGGAGACACCAAGTATGACCAAGGCTCTATTCTGGGTGCTGGGCAGAGGGCAGCAAGCAAAACCAACACAGCCCCTGCTCTCAACATTTAGATCAATAACTGCCGGAAGGGAACTTCTTTTTTTTTTTGCCCATTTTTTAAAATTTTATTTTATTGTTTAAAGTACTACAGAGAGTAGTACATATGTCTCCTTTTTTTCCCCATTGACCTTCCCCCAGCCTCCCCTACCCCCCAACACATGCCCTCACCCCACCCACCAGTGTCTTGTGTCCATTCTTGTAACGTGAGTGAAGAAGTCGGTTGGAGATAAGCAGAGGCAATAGGAGGCATAGCTACTAGTAGACAGGGATGTCAAGACAGGCATGTGAGTGGAGGCCCAAAGGATGATAGCGCTTAGCCAGGCTGAGAGTCACAGGAGAGCATCCGTGGCTGAGAGCCAGGCATGTGCAAAGGCCCTGAGGTGAGACAGACTAAGAGAAGGCCAGTGTGTCCAGGGCACAGTCTGCCAAGGAGCCGGCAGGTGGTG